GCCTCAGCATGGCCGGAGAAGCGGTGCGTCGGTGTGCGCCCGGGATCGGAACCCGGGCCACCAGCAGCAGAGCGTGCACACCTAACCGCTAAGCCATGGGGCCGGCCCAAACTAAATCTTTTCTAAAGGTCTGCCCAATACGTAACTTTTAAGATTTTATCTTGTTTCCTTTACTCCCTATTTTTCTCATGATTATGCTAGAAGTCTTAATAAATAAATAATTTAATTCCAGTTCTGTTGAGAGTGAATTAGAGGTATCAGGACACATATATTTTAGGCTTCGTTTCTTTAAAAAAAAAATGTTTTGGTTTTTTTTTTGAAAAACTAAATAAGTAGTGATTTGACTTAGGCTTAATCCAAAACTAATAGAGTATTAAATCCTATTTTATGAATGTTATTCTTTCCTACAGCTCTACAACTTGCATATACATATATGCATGTATATGTGTATGTATGGGTGTACATACATTTTTTTTTTTTTTTTTTACAGTATTTGAAAGCTGTGATAACTCCAGAGTGTCTCCTGATATTAGATTATCGTAATTTAAATTTGGAGCAATGGCTATTCCGGGAACTCCCTTCACAGTTGGCTGGAGAGGGTCAGCTTGTCACATACCCTTTACCATTTGAGTTTAGAGCTATTGAAGCACTCCTGCAGTATCGGGTAAGCCTGTTTTTATTTAGCTTCTTAAATTTGTTCTGGTGTTAAAATGCTATTGAGTAGGAAGACAGGTCAGTATTGTTTCAATGGCATTTTCACTAACCCCAACAAAATGTCTCTAAGGGTCCTGTATAGAGAAATTACTTAATTCTTAAATTTTGTGACCCAATCAAATAGATGTACAGTCTCTAGAAACAGTATATAGTATTTCTTTGAGAGTCATGGTATGACATTCAACAAAGCACATTTCAAGTTGGCTATCTTTTGTACAGTTTTAATAATTGTATTCAGGGGTGATAATTCAAAATACTTAAAATCCTAAATGTGCTATAAATAAACATACCAAAAAAGTTTTAAAAGGGGGCCGGCCCAGTGGCATAGTGGTTAAGTTTGCATGCTCTGCTGTGGCAGCATGGGGTTTGCAGGTTTGAATCACAGGCGTACACTTAGGCACCGCTCATCAAGCCATGCTGTGGCAGCATCCTATATACAAAATAGAGGAGGATGGGCACAGATGTTAGCTCAGGGCCAATCTTCCTCAGCAAAAAAGAAGATTGGCAACAGACATTAGCTCAGGGCCAATCTTCCTCACCAAAAAAAAAAAAAAGTTTTAAATGTATTCCATTTTATTTTCTAAGTTAAATTGTATATAGTGTAAAACTGCTTACATGTGATAAATTTTATAACATAAATCATTCATCAAATCATCCTAATACTTTTTTTGTGTGTGTGAGGAAGACTGACCCTGAGCTAACATCTGATGCCAATCCTCCTCTTTTTTGCTGAGGAAGATTGGCCCTGGGCTAACATCCATGCTCATCTTCCTCTACTTTATGTGGGACACCGCCACAGCATGGCTTGACAAGCAGTGCGTCGGTGCGCGCCCAGGATCCGAACCTGCGAACCCCAGACAGCCAAAGCAGAGCATGCGCACTTAACCGCTGCACCACCGGGCTGGCCCCCTTCCTAATACTCTCAAAATCATTCTTTGATTTGTTTGTACAATCCTTTGTTTGAGGCAGCTAAATGATGCCTGTGTTTGAGACCTAGTTTGACATAGGAACCATGTACAATTCTTCTAAGGACTTCGCATTAAATTGTTAGTCATTGGGTGTCTAGAGATCCTGTCAGGCCCTGAACAAGGAGGGTCACTGCTTTCTTGGCCCTCACAAATCTTTCATTATCTTTTCTTCCCCCTATTAGTCAGGATAGTACTGTTTAGGAACTTGATGCATGCGAGAGTTGGTGCTAGGGGCATGCTACCCAGAGTGGGAGAAGGAGAGGAGGGTAAAGGAGACATGAGGTGGGTGGGAATTGGGTGAACCTGGTACCCTTCTCTTTTGTGTGCCTTGCTATACTGAGGGAGTAGGAGATGGCTCCATCCCTGCTCAAGTTAATTAGACAACAGCACCAGCTAGTACCAGCCCATGAGATGGTGACTAGTTGGAGCCTAGTTACTAAGCAGGGAAAAAGCAGGAGAGGGAAACAAAAGAAGATGCAGACCACTGGTCAGTGACAGGCTGAGTAAGCTCTTGAGGGCTCATGCTGAGTTAAACAGTATATGCTGGAATTTATGTCATTAATTTACTGCTTCATTCAGTTACTGTTACACTGTTTACCAACTGGTATGGAAGTATTTCAATATCTTAACAGCTAGTATAGCTGTATCAGTGCATACCTGCTGAATATCAACTGCGCCTATATTAACCGGAATAAGAAGTATACTTTTGACTCTACACTGATTTTTAAAGTCCAAATCATGTTTTGGTTTTCAAAAGAACTTTGTTCATAGGAATTTGGAACTGTATTCTGTTTACAAAGAACATAGTTATTATTTACCAAATGTAAAGTTTGTGTGTTAACCATGGCATGGCAGATGTTATTTTAATTAATCAATCCCCCATTCCTTTCGTAAGTGTCTGTAGAGGAAGGCTCTTATGGGAGTTAATTCCTTATCAGCCAAGTGTGAGCCTAGTAACAACATTATCCATGATTATCTTCTAACCCAGGAGATGTAGTTTTTGAATCATCTGGAATAGGCATTCTAGCAGTGACCATGTTCTGAAATGTTATCAGCTTTCCTAGCCATTATAGATTTCTGTATTTAATCAGAGGATTCACTGACCCTGAGTATTCTAAAAAGATTGTTTTAATTCTTATGAAAGGTCATGTTGTTGTCTAGATCAGCACCCTTCAGGGGAAACTTAGCATTTTGCAGCCACTGATACTTGAGACGTTGGAAGCTTTAGTGGATCCCAAACATTCTTCTGTAGACAGAAGCAAACTTCACATCTTGCTACAAAATGGCAAAAGGTAAATATGGGTGATTTACCAGGTTGGGACTTACACACAAATACCTTAAACTTCTTTTTCAGTAGTCCTAACACTGAAGTGTTGAACGTAAATTCAGACACAAAATTAGTGTGATTATTACCTGTTTTAAAAATACCAACTTTCATAGTCTTGCTAAGGGTAATGACATTTTTTGCTTTATGACTTACTCCCAGGGCCTTAATTGCCACATTTGGTTTTATTTATTGTTAAAATTCTGTGTTTTATAACTTTTTTTAAAGTAGGAAAGTAGCCAAGGTGGGAAATTGAGCTAATAGGGGCACACAGACTAATGTTTATTGAAAAGCTATTTTGGGTGAAATGCCGTATCAGCCTCTTTTACATGTGTGATCTCATCTCATCCTTTCAGCAGTCCTGTGCAGCAGTTGATGTTGTTCTCATTTAGAAGATAAGAAAAATGGGGTTTAAGTAACTTGTCTAAACTTATACAGCTAGTAAATGACAGATCTAAATCCAAATCTAATTCTCTCTCCCCTAAGGTCCGTGTTCTTTTTTTTTTGTTTATTATAATGCATTCCAGAATTTAAGAATAATATTTTAATTAATTTTTATCATAAATTGAATAAACATGCTCTCAGGGTTTGTACCCCCTAAAATCTCTTCAAGAGTTAACCGTTAAAATTCCTGAATCATTAGTTCTTTTCTTTTTTTTAATTTTCTTTATTTATTTTTTCCCCCAAAGCCCCAGCAGATAGTTGTAGGTCATAGCTGCACATCCTTCTAGTTGCTGTATGTGGGATGCGGCCTCAGCATGGTCGGAGAAGCGGTGCGTTGGTGCGCGCCCGGGATCGAACCCGGGCCACCAGCAGCGGAGCTCACGCACTTAACCGCTAAGCCACGGGGCCAGCCCCAAGAATCATTAGTTCTTTGTCCAAAAATGTTGGAATGTTTCTATCATTAAAAGTAAATAGTCTTTATGTTATCATTGCCATATTTAGTAAGAATAAAAATAAATTCCCAAACCAAAAACCTTAAATTCACAATGATTGTGTGTTTCCGAGATAAATAATATATGCTGAAATTTATATCATTGCTTATTTTTACTGCTTAGTGCAGTTTGGGTTTGGGAATTGATTCTTAGTCTGCATGATAAATATCAAAATATTTTTTGTACAAACCAGTGTTTACCGTGAATGTATAAGTGGATCTACTTCATAAGAAAAAGGCACTATTCTTGAAGTGAAATGTTTTAAAAGTTTGTCATTGATCATTTCTGTACACCTACTCTTACAGTCTATCAGAGTTAGAAACAGATATTAAAATTTTTAAAGAGTCGATTTTGGAGATCTTGGATGAAGAAGAGTTGCTAGAAGAGCTCTGTCTAACAAAATGGAGTGACCCACAAGTCTTGTAAGTCTATGGTCATGCTTTGTTATTTATTCTCTTAGGATCAGTCTTCTGTCTTTTCTTCTCCAGGATGAGCTTTCATAGAGAACATCACATTTTTCTGAGATTGAGAATAGTGGCACTTTCATCCCAATTGTTTCAGTTTTCCCTGTGCTGTGTTGCATAATTCAATTTAACAAGGATATATTGAGTGCATACTGTGTACACAGCACTGTGCTGGGCTGTGGTCATGTAAAGATACATACCATTACCTTTATCTTCAAGGGACTGACCACTGACATGGCTAACACCTCTACCCAACTAACTTACAGTGGAGGTGGTGAGAAATTCACATGGGGAGGGAAAGGGCAGGTGAGGGGGATGAGTAAGACATTGGCACAGATTCTGTAAGTTTGGTCTAATATAAAAGTGCTCATCTTATAAATAAACCTTTTTTCACAAGAATTTGGGAATCACGTTCTCAAACACACTCAAGTTAAATGTTTACTTTCTTTTTTTTTTTCCTGAGGAAGATTAGCCCAGAGCTAACATTCATGCCTATCTTCCTCTACTTATACGGGACGCCGCCACAGCATGGCTTGACATGCGGTGGGTTGGTGCGCACCTGGGATCTGAACCAGCAAACCCTGGGCTGCCAAAGCGGAGTGTGCGCACTTAACCACTTGCACCACTGGGCCAGCCCCTAAATGTTTACTTTTTAAATACCGAAAATATTTCATTTTTGTTCTTTGTAGAGCAGTATCAGAAATTAATATACCTTTGTAATGTGTATAGTTTCCACACTCTGTACAGATTTTTAAGCATTTTGAGAAATTAGTTATCTATATTCTAATAAGCAAACATTAAGATAAAAAGAGCTGTATAATGTTTGGTATTGTAGCAGATAGATACAGTAGTGGAAATTTGAACACACGTGTAACTCTTGTTTGCTTATTAGGCTAGTCCATCTCTAATATACTTTATGATAGAAGTATTTTTTACAGACTACTTCATTCTCACCCTCCTTGGTAGGGTGGAAAGTATAAGGAAAAGGGAGCAAAATAGCGATGTATTGATATCCTTCAGAAACATTTGTTTTCATATATGAAAATGACATTATATATTTACCTTGGAAAGGAAATGCATTTTTTTGTGTTTCTTTGCTGAGGAAGATCTGCCCAGAGCTAACATCTGTCGCCAGTCTTTCTCTATTTTGTATGTTGGTTGCCACCACAGCATGGCTGATGAGTGGTGTAGGTCCATGCCCCAGATCCGAACCCACAAACCTGGGCCGCTGGAGCGTGCCAAACTTAACCACTATGCCACAGGGTCAGCCCCCGTGAAAGGAAATGCTTTTTATGCTCATTTTTAGTTCTGGTTTTGTTTTACCTCTTAGTGGTATTGGATTTGCACTAATCATCAGCATTCACACGTCTGGATTTTCTTGTAACTGGTGCATGAGAGTCCCTTGGATTGGGGCTGTGGAATACAGTGAACCTAACTCATCTGTATAGGAGTAGAACCTGTGCCCTCAACTTACCTGTGTAGTGTTTAGGGTCAGTTGACAAAGCCACTCATAGATTGGCCTTAATCACAATAATAGAAAAGGCAAAGGCTAGTTTTTTTTCCATTCATAGCCAAATATTATATACTAATTGAGAAAGCTTTTTGCTGCTACATGTATGATGCACATATTGGGGACATGTTAATTGTGCTAACTCTTTTAATTGAAGTGAAAAAAGCAGTACTGGAATTGACCACGCAGAAGAGATGGAGTTGCTCTTGGAAAACTACTATCGATTAGCTGAGGATCTTTCCAATGCAGCTCATGAACTTAGGGTACTGATTGATGATTCACAAAGTATTATATTCATCAATCTAGACAGGTAAGAAAGCATTATATAAAACAATCAGTAAGTACTTTCTTTATAAAATAATTATTATAAGGTAGTAAAGATTTTAAGGAACTGTCATTTTGGAAGGAATTATACCATCATTATCATCTATAACTACCACATGGAAGTGTGTCTTTTTTTTTTTTAAAGTGTAGATTTCATCCACGTGGTCTTTAGTAGATGATTTGGTGCATTTTCTGTGCATAGTTACTGGGCCTTTCTGATCTAAGGAGGTGTTCTCCTCTCCAGCCACCGTAATGTGATGATGAGGTTGAACCTGCAGTTGACCATGGGAACCTTCTCTCTTTCGCTCTTTGGACTAATGGGAGTTGCTTTTGGAATGAATTTGGAATCGTCCCTCGAAGAGGTGAGAATACTGTATTATTTCAATAATCTAGGGGTTATTTTTTTAAGGTTTTGAAGGTTGTTTTTTTTTTAATGAATTTTAATAAGAAAGTCTGAACACATATACTCCCCTTGTGAAATAAAATACATACTCTACTTCATTTAAAATTCAGGCAGTATTGTTGGACCCTGTTATAACATAGCTATAAATATAGCTTGGGTTACCTTGTGTTTCTCAAAACGTAACTACACATGGGAAAGGTTTGACAAAACAGTGTTATGCTGTGAGGTAGTGTTAATAAAGGATTTTTATTTTTTTTAATTCTTATATGTCAGGCAGCGCTCCTGGCAGTTTGCAGGCTTTATTTGGCTCAATCATCACAACTCTGAAGATGGATGTATTATCCCTACTTTATAGATGAGAAAGCTGAGGCTCAGATATCTTAAGTAACTTGCCCCGAGGACACAGAGCTAGAAAATAACAGAGTTAGGATTTGAACCCAAAGATTTGCATCTTCCACTTTGTTCTACTGCCTTTCCAAATTAATATAACACTGAATTCCCAGGGTTTCATTTTATTGTAGCCTTGTGTTTTAGAAAATATCTTCCTGTAAGATTTCTAGAAATGAATGTGAATGTGCATTCAGGACACTCTGGCACTGGATTCTGTGTCCTAATTCAACAGTTCTATTCTCTGTCTCTAGGCTCTCTCCCTAGTCCAACTCACATCATCTCTCAGGACTGCTACTTTCTTTTATTTATTTTTATTTTTTTATTTTTTTGTGAGGGAGATTGGCCCTGAGCTAACATCTGCCAATCCTCCTCTTTTTGCTGAGGAAGACCGGCCCTGGGCTAACACCCATGCCTATCTTCCTCCACTTTATATGGGACGCCGCCACAGCATGGCCTGACAAGCGGTGCATCGGCGCGCACCCGGGATCCGAACTGGTGAACCCCAGGCCGCCGCAGCGGAGCACGCGCACTTAACTGCTTGCGCCACCGGGCCAGCCCCATGCTACTCTCTTTTAAACAGTGGTCTTTAAAAGAGGCAAATCTGGTAGTCATTCTTCTGCATAAAACTATTCAGTGGCTTTTGATTGCCCTTAAGACAAAAATCCCAACTCCTTGGCCTGTACGGCTTTTCCTGGTCTGCTGCGCCCACGTCTCCATCTTGTCTCAGCCACCTTGCCCTCGTTGTTAGTTGTTTCATCAGTATTTCTTGTCATTCACACTGCCTCCACACATCTCTCCTGAGCTCCCACCATTTATTTGTCTAGTTTACTTCTACTTATCCCTCAGGTCTCAACTTCTGTGCCACTTCCAAGGAGAATCTTCACTGATTGCACCCCCAACCTAGCCAAGTAAAATTATTCCCCTTGTCATATGTGCCCAAGTAATCTCACACTTCCCATTTGTCACTTCCTCACATTTGCAGTTGTTCAAACTCTGTACATGATCATGAGCTCCCTGAGGCAAAGTCAGTCTTAGTCATTTTTAATGTTCCTTATAACAAGACGGTAAAAATAAATGTAATACATTTGTTCGTTCATCTCAGAATTAGATTTTTTGTGCCTGTTATATACTAAATTCTGCTCTCAGCCCTGGGGGTACAGCAGTGTCCTTGCCTTTGTGGAGGTTACATTATAGTAGAGGAGGGAGAAAACAAACACATATATCAGTGCCGTAAAGAAAAATAAAGCCAAGTAAAGAAATAGAGGATGCCAGGAAGAGGTGAGACGAGGAGCATTTTAGAGATAGGGTGGTCAAGGAAGGTCTTTCCGAGGAGGTGACACTTGAGCAGGGACCTGAATGAAAAGAGCAAGTGGGAAGAGCTGAGGGGAAGGTGTTTGAAGCAGAGGGAACCACACATGTAAAGGCTGAGGCAGGAATGAGCTGAGCTTGTGCAAGGAACAGCAAGAAGGCCCGAGTGGTCAGAAGAGGGTGTGTGAGGTGGCGAGGGATAGGGAATGAGGTCAAAGGACAGACAAGTTGAGACAGTGTTGATTTGGTAGAGCCTGGTAAGAGCTTGGGTGTATTTTAAGTGTGATAGGAATCTGTCAGAGGCTTTCAAGCCCAAAGCTAGACTAAAAGTTCGGAGGTAACCAAACTATCTTGTGCAACATAGACCTACCCTTGACGTTCTCAGAAGATAACTTCAAAGACCTTTGCAAGTTCCCTGATTTGTGACTACAGAACTCTTTGTACAGGTTCCTGTCTTTCTCCCAAATCATTTTTATTAAGAATCATGTTTATGTACCTATACTTACTCTACAAGCTAACTCCTTTTTATACTTAACTCTAGTATTTTCCCTCACTTAATACCTATTTTGCAAAAAAGGATTTTTAGAAATTCCTTTCTGATAGTTCTAGCATGTGCAATCCTAGGTATGGAGCCAACCCAGTTGGAATGAGATATGAGTGGGAGGAAGTGAAATGAGCTTGCTCAGTGGCTGGGTGATTGGCTCCCTCAGAACAAGATTCAGATCAGTGCCTCATCAGTTATCAATTGTGCATCTCTAGGTTTCCTGAAGAATAGTTGAAACATGTTCATTAAATCCATGGATGTCAAAGGTCTCTGTTCCCACGTAGTTAGGGTTAATATTTACAATGGTGAATCTAGGATAGGAGAAACTGTCATTTTTTACTTTTTAGTTTAAGATAAATAATCAAAGAATTCCTATATAGCCTTCACCCATATTCTTCAAACACCTAACATTTTATCACATTTTGTCTATCCTTCTGTCTCTATATATACTTCTTTTTCTAAACCATTTGAGAGTAAGCAACAAATGTGATGCCCCTTTACCTATAAATATTTCATTATGTATTTCCTAATCTTACATAACCACAGTACGGTTGTCAAAATCAGGAAATGAACATTGAAATAATACTGTTTTCCAGTCTATAGACCCTACCCAGATTTTGCCACTTGTCTCAGTAGTGCTCTTCATCTCAAAGAAAAGCTTGGATCCCATGTTGCCTATACTTGTCCTGTCTCCTGAGTCTCCTTTAATCTAGGCCAGTTCTTTCATCTTTGTCTTTCATGGCCTGGACATTTCACAAAGAATACAGGTCCGTTATTTGGCCCTCGACACTCTTTCTTCATTGTTAAATTCTGGTTATGCATTTTGTCAGTGTGTTTTTTACATTGAATCCCATCAGGAGACACATGATGTCGATTTGTCCCATTACTGTTGATACTAACTTTGATCATTTGGTTAAGGTGGTTTCTACCTACTTTCTTTCTATAAAGTTTCTCTTTCTCTTTGGAATTAAGTATCTTGTAGGGAGATACTTTGAGAGTATGTGAAAATACTTATTGGTTAAATTGGTTATTGGTTAAATTTTCACCCTCTAGTTTTAGCATCCACAACTTGATCCAAAATTGATTCATGCCTGAATCAAACATTACTCTGATGGTTACCAAGTGATGATTTTCTAATTCTATCACTCCTTCTACATTTATTCATTGTAAAGTAGAGCATTCCATTCTCTCCTAGTTATTTATTCACTTATATCAGTATGGACTCATGGGGTCTTATTTTAGTCAATGAGTTATAATCTGTTACTGTCGTTATGTATTTTGATGCTCAAATTGGCCCTTTCATGCTGGCTTCTGGGTACTTTTGACATGTCCTCATCAGTTTTTAGTGCTTTTTTAGCCTCTGACACATGAGGGTGTTCTATTTCTAAGTGATGTGGGTAGACTAAATGGTGGAGGAGATAAAGACTACCATGAGTTTGAAAATTAGGTAAAAAAAGTACTGCAGGGCACACCCAGAGCAGAGGGAGCAGTAGATCTCCAGCTCTCAGACACACTTGTCCCTTCCCTTAATCTCCTAGAGGTCTCGCAATGTGTTTTGTGTGTATTTTATTGACACATGGAATTTTGACCTTGTTTGCCTCTGACTTGCTTACCTTTCAAGTTTATCACATTTTGGCATCCCAGACTTTTGATTTATAAGGGATTACAGAACCAGTATACAGCAAAGAACAGTAATCATCTGTGTATACTAAATCGCATTTAAACAGAATTTTTACTTAATAAATTAGGGCCTTCTTTTTAGATAACTGGAAATGTGTTTACCATCCAAAAACAGTTAATTCATGTTAGCACTTGTCTTCCTAACATGTTCTGTCTACATCGAACTTCTGTTAAAAGGAGGCAGATTTCTGCTCAGTATATGACATACATTTCTGTCAGTGATAGATGATCCCTGTGTAACAGGCTACCTTGAGGGAAAGTGAGCTCTCGATCACTGGTACTAACCAAGCCATGGTTGATAACCAACTAATAGCATAGCTGTTGATGGGATTCCTTTCCGGTGGGAGATGAACTATAAATTCTGTGATTCTGTATATAAAGGCATGAGCTAAGAACATTACACTGCAAAAATATTACAATTTTGAAAATGACAGTGAGGAAAAATGTTTACTGCAAGTCAGAGGGTCCTAAACTTTCTTGGTTCATGATGCTTTTAATGTCTTAGTAATTTTTTCACAGCATCTCTAGACCAAAAGTTTTTTATTGTTATAGTTTCCTTCATGTTACGTTACGTAACAGTTAACTTTATGTAGTAAAGTCAAAACAACTTAAGAACAGTAGTTCTCGTGGTATTCCACCCATGTCACTGTGTCTCCCTTGAAAATTAAAATATTCTGGGGTGCTGTGATGCGTAAGGCACCTCAGCTCACAGTTTGGAAAATGGCTATAAGCAAAAAATTTAAGTTGTATGTCCTATGTGATTATAACTATTAAAATGTGTATGCATGTAAACGAAGAAACACAAAGTAAAAGCAGTTATGTTTGGTTTATAGATGATTAAAAATATTTAAAACCTTTTATATTGTTTCTCTTTTGACTTATTTTCTGATTCTTGGTCTTTGGGTGCTATCGAGGACTTGTTCTGAGCTCTTTTCTGTAGGAAAGAGCTGTACAAAGGCTTCTTTTAGACTCTGGGGCAGTAATAGTTCAGGGAATTTTCTCTCTAAGGAACCAAGACTTTTGTGATTGAAATTAACTATGTTCCCTTTTAGGACCATAGAGTGTTTTGGCTGATTACAGGAATCATGTTCATGGGGAGTGGCCTGATCTGGAGGCGTTTACTGTCATTCCTTGGACGACAACTCGAAGCTCCTTTGCCTCCTGTGGTATGAAGGGTCTGGTTCACAGCAGTGTAGCAGGGTGGTCACAATCTTGGTTTTGATGTCAACCTGGGCACAGTGTCACAGGCTTTGTGATCCTGAGCATGTTATTTAATTTCTCAAAGCCTCCCTCAGTTTCCCCATCTGTCAAGTCAGTACCACCTACTTCATAGTGTTAATGGGAGAATTAAATAATATGTGTAAGGCACTTACTAGCACAGCGCCTGGCATAACAAGTTAGAAATATTTTGTGTGGAACACTGTGACGAGCATTATACATTTAGATATCTGTTAGTAATTGTGATGCAGGATTTGTCATAACCAAAATTGAAATGTAGAGAACGTTTATAGTGTTCTCATTAAGAAAACTTAGGAAGTTTACCTCCTTTTTCTTATCTTTCTACTTGTAATTTACACACTGGAGTAAGTCTTCAGACACTGACGCATGGCTGGCAGTCCTTCCCTCGTTAGAAGTCACATTATATCATTTTACTAGTGGCTTTTCTTTTAAGAAAGACACAAACTAGAATTAATTTTGCTGCTTTACTTAGGTGGCCTCTTTACCTAAAAAGACTCTCCAGGCAGATAGAAGGATGGAAATGAAACACACCTTCAGGCCGGATGGACTTGGATCAAGCAGGAGCCTCCTCACAAACCGTTAGAAACAACCTGGTGGATGCTGAATTATTTTTTATGGTAGTCACAGGAAACTTCAGATACTCTTTTAATACTTTCTTTTATAGAGTCAGAGTCTTGAAAAAAATCACTGACATTTAAATTATAAGTCTGTGGTAAAAATACTATGGCAGTCATCATACTGGAACTTAATTGCATTTTCTGCAATTAAGAATTCTGAGTAAAGCAGCAAGGTGCTTGCTTTGTAAAAGGCCAAAATTCTATTTCCTACAAACTTAAAAAGCTGTTTTTATAGACACGATGTGAGGCATGGAGAGATTAACTTAACAAAAGAATAGATTTTATTTTATTTATACATATCAAGAAAAGTGCGATTTCATGCCGAATGAAGCCTGGAAACTTGACAAACCCACAGTTACAAGATCAGGTAGCCGTAGTTTTTAGTCGGTACAGGGAATCAGGTCCTTTCGAATTTCCTGACTCTCAGGTGACTGAAAAGCTAGCAAAATATATATCAACTTTAAAACAAGGACCGGAAGTTTGTGCTTTAAGTCAATTTTTGATATAACCTTATGTTCTTGTATCTGTCCTCTTTTTATATAAAGGTGAATAAAAAGAAGGAAATGATCATTTAACATCAGCTTTATATGGATTCCAATTAATCAAGATTTTACTTTCTTGACCCCTGAAACTATTTTTGTTTGCTTGGCTATGATTAAAGCCTTTGGAAGTTGAGTTGAAAGGAAGTGTTTCCATTATGTTCCTGTTCTATAGCTGCTCTGGTCATTCCCTGATTTTGAGAGTAGATGGCTGTACTAAAGGAAGATGGATGTAGCCCAGCTAATCTGTATGCCAGCACCTCAAAAGTTGACCGATGGGCTTCCTAAAACAAGGGAGTTTGATAAATTTTAGAATTGTGATCCTTTTTGTTTTCACAATCAGAGACTGTGGTTTAAAACAAATGGCTAATAGTTGTAAGTGTCAAAGCTGCTATCCTACTTAACATCTTAACTACCTTTTTTATATTTTCTGGAGGTTAAATACAGTTATGCAGTAGAACATTACAGTTATACTTGCCTCCAAAAGTAGCATTCTTGGAAGATTCCAGAGTGTCCAGAGCAGCTCTTGCACTACAAATACAGTAGTAATAAAAGAATATGCATACCCTACTTATGTTGGGGGTGCCTCATACCCTAATTGATGTCATTTGAGGAAGTTTAGGGGTCCATTTACCACGTGGGTTTGGTGATAGGAATAAAAATCCTATTCCAATAGCTGATTTGAAAGAAAATAAATGAAGTTACAAGCAAAATTTTCCCCACTCCCATGTGTGGTTATGAGCAGCCATTAGAGGGAAGGTGTAGAATAGAATGGCAGAAACAGGCTGGGCTTGTCTTGGGTACCAAGTGGCTCACTTGGCACCTCTGGATCAGGAGTATGCTTTATGGTGTGGTTGTCGGAATGTGAACACACAGCACTCCCTAGCATCATAAATCTGTGTGATGATTTTCAAGATAAAGTACCTTTAATAATACTTAGATTTCATGGGGGCACTCTGCTTTGGCACAACTCAGAGCACTCTGCTGCTATTTTTGGTCATATGTTATCACTGTAAAATAGGTAATAAATGTTACTTAACTGTGACATAGGAGGAAGTGGAAGGCCAGAGGGCAAAATTTGATTTGACTGAGATATCAGGCATTAGGATAGAATTTTGGTGATTTTTCCTTGTAGTGATACTCACTTAGTTTATGGGCTTGGGTAAAATAATTTTTTTTATAAGTTATAATTTTCCTCATGAAAGGGAAAATAAATGCAACTACCTCATAAGTCTGATAAAGGGAAGTTACTGATGGTCTGTAAAACTCTTAAAGGTGGTTAGATCAAGTATGGTTTCAAAATGTTAACTAGCTCTGCTTTGGTGATAGCAGGATGCTTCCTACATGAAGCTTCTCTTAAATAATAAAACAGACTATGCCAAAAAAAAATAGGAAGTTTAGCAGTTTTAAAACAGACTGAGCACATGAACTGCTATTTGAAAGTGAAGTGATAGAATACCAAACACTCAGTTATGTGAGTAAGCAAGCAACCATATCTGCTGTTTAACAGTACAAGTAAGCACAAGGACTGATACTCTTAACAGGCTGTCTTTGTCTTTGGAAGGCCTCTAAGGAAATGTTGTGGAATAGATGTCATTTTAGGATGCTATTAACACTTGCTTTATTCTTGATAAACATAGACTGATAAATAACCACTAAAACAATTTCATATTAAAACGCTGTTTATGTTGATGAGTTATTTTGAGAGTTGTACACAGCTTTGTTTTTTGGAATTGCAATATTAAACTCTCTTTAAATTTAGGATTTGCTTTCATTAGTTTAGTGATACCTGTGGAGGTGGTCTAATGGGTGGTACACAGAATAGGGAATACAGAGACCTGGTTTATTTCCAAACTCACCTCAAATCATAATTAGTCTCTTAGGTGTGTGATACAAAGGCATAAAACAATTCTGATCTTAAAGCCTTGAAGCAAGTTGTTACATATACAGATAATAGAAAGACAAAAATTGCAACTATGTAAATGTGTTGTGATATCTTGAAATAAAGGTAATTTTGAATTAAATTGTTGTATTAACCTCACATTTGTGTTAAGGAAGTTAAAACCCTACAAGCTATTTCCATTTTTATTATTAAACATTTCAGAATCAGTGCTTAGAACCACAGTTAATACTTAGTGGAGTGAAAATCCACCTATGGGACTAATACATTAGACTGTTGTGTATTAGGGTTTTTTTGTATGTCAGGTTTTTACATATTTGCCATATAGGTTGATTTTGAACAGTGGGAATACAATTTACATCATTTTTGAGTATGAGGGTAGTATGGTTAAATATCCTGTATAAAATCCTATAGGGGCTGGCCCCGTGGCTTAGCGGTTAAGTGCGTGCGCTCCGCTACTGGCGGCCTGGGTTCGGTCCCGGGCTGTGCACCGACGCACCGCTTCTCCGGCCATGCTGAGGCCGCGTCCCACATACAGCAACTAGAAGGATGTGCAACTATGACATACAACTATCTACTGGGGCTTTAGGGAAACACAAAAAGGAGGAGGATTGGCAATAGATGTTAGCTCAGAGCCAGTCTTCCTCAGCAAAGAGAGGAGGATTAGCACGGATGTTAGCTCAGGGCTGATCTCCCTCACCAAAAAAATAAAAAATAAAATCCTATAAATCCTATATGAAAACTTGCTTCCAACTGTATAAATTTTAACCTTCTCCACATGGTGCTTGCTATCTTTCTTATATGTTCAAGCATTTAGAAAAATGTAAATCCTCAGGTAAATAAATATCATGTTTAAACATAAGCCCTGTCATCTAGTGAAGCATAATAACAGACACTTTGTATAGTAATGGTAGACCCAGTACTGAGAGAAACATGCTTTTACTAAAATGTAGTGTCAGTTTGTTCTATACTCAGACTTCTCAATTCATAAGTGAATACAGCTAAGTAATTTCTGGTCCCCTAAAAATAAACTTCCTTTTAATTAAAAATAATTCTTCAAATAGGTTGAGCTGTCAATAATTGTTACCCAAATGAAACCAAATGGTGTTTCTGTGCACTTTTTGCTGTGCCATAGGGAACCATGCAGCTAGCACTCCTCTAAGACGAGACGGCCCTGGGAGTGAGCGAGGGGTGCTATCTAGGTATGTGCCTGTTTTCCTGTATATACTCACCTTATGCCCACAGTTTTAACTCGAGTAGCTTTTCCTTGATTTCTGATTTAACTTTACCCTTCAGCTGGATTCCTCTCTCCTTCGATCAGTATCTACTCTGACTCTAGAGAAGCTGAGAAAGGTTCTTGTCATTTGTTCTTTTCTCCTGCTTTTAGTAGCATTTCATTTCACTAGTGTCAGAAGAAAGAGGTTCTTGCCTGATTGATACAGAACTGCTTACTATTTACAGATAACAATGCCTATAAATTCCTAGGGAAGCTGAAACTTTATGGTACATTCCTTTCCCTTACATGCCACACTGCAGGGCTGGCAGGTGAAACCCACCCTTCTAGAACCAGCCCAGGAAGGAGAGAAGCCAAGGCCTGCTTCACTCCTCTCGGTCCCTCACTTACTTGGTCCTTTGTGGTAGCCTTTGGCTTAGGCCAGAGCTCTCTCCTTTCTGCTCTAGTTCTGTTGGCACAACTTGTGCCAACCTAATGCAACAAAGCCTTCTCATGGGATGACTTAGAACTAGTGGAGAGTCACTAGGTTCATCAGCTGTTAGAACAGCCATTTCTACAAAATCATTTGAGGGCACAGAAAGGTGATATGATTTTAGTTTTTCTGTTTGCCCTTTACTATGTGAAACATTGAAAGTGCAATAATCCTCATTAAGAAAGGACCAAATTATTTACAAGTAATTTTTGAGTTGTAAGGGTATCCCTCACCCCCATACTTTTCACTATACTGTTTCTCCTCCTCCTCCAATTTTTTTTATCCTGTATACCGTGCTTTCCATTTCACTTTGATTAGAATGGATCACCAATTTTAAAAGGACATTTTTAGGAGAATTGCGTACAGAGGTTTTTCCTAAGAGATAACCACAGAGAAGCCTCTCCAGGCATCAGAAAGACAGGTATTCATGTGGAAGAGGAAACAGGTTGTACAACAGAGTTACGCACAGGCAATTAGTTAGGAAAGAAGAAAGGTTTAGATGCAAAGGAAGCAAGGAAGTAAACTTGGAAGGGGACGTGAATAATAATGTGCTGTGTCACATCCTTCTGATGTAGTCATAATTTACTGTATTTCCAGATAGTCTGGCTATTAGCGTGTGTGTGTCTCCACTCCTGGGACCAGCCCTCTATCTAGTATAATCTACCAAGGCTCCACTGGATGTGCCACTTTGTCCACCAGAAGGCTCACCCTGGAGATGACTCGGCATGAGAGAGGGCAAGGCAGATTAGGAAAGCAGAGTGAAATCTTTAATCTAAACCAAGGCTATAAATATGAAGTGCCCCCGAGAGTCGGGCTCCCAAAGAACTCCTTCCAGCAGCAATGACAACTTGGTTCTGTAGAGGACACAAAACAGACAGAATTCATTATTCATTTATAACATCTGTTAAGTTGCTGCTGCAGTCCAGGCATCATATTTTGCTCTGGAGATAGAAAGATGAATAAGACATTGGCCAGAGCCTGTGGCTTGAACTTAAATGCCTCTTTCCTTTTGTTTAAATACCACTTTCTCACATCTGTAGGTTCAGAAAACCACAGCTGAGGACAGTCACTCCACTCCCTTCTCTAGTACATCAAGAATAAAGAAAAAGTACATCAGTGCATGTTTATCCCAGAATTCTAGTTGTATACAGTGCAGACAGCACAGCTGGAATAATAAGGACTTCCACGAGGGGCTGCCTTTGTCGGTGTGTTTCCACCACCTCCTACTGCCCCTGCTGCTTGAATCATTTTAGGAACCATCTTTCAGAATTGCCTTCGAAACCTGCTACAGGTTTTTAAATGTTTTCACTGGTGGCAAATCTACATACTTTGAGGTCAGATTCAATTTTTGGAACCTACTAAAAGTTGTTCTGAACCAAGGCTGGTAAACAAGATGTGGATGATCACACGGGCTGATGGTGTTTTGGTCAGAGCAGGGCATGACCAGGAAACAACCAAACCTTCTGTGAAAACAGTTCCTCCTGATTTAATTTTGAAAACTACAGATGGAATCCAGAAATAATAATAGCTAGCATTTACTGAGCCTTTACCATGTGTCAGCTACCACACTTAGCCCTTTGCTGGTATCTTTTTCTTACACCCC